TAACACTAGAGGGGGCATCGTAATCTTAATTCAGTCAAAGAAAGGAACGCGGCTATTGGGGGGCAAAAAATTAAAATGCTAAAATAAGAGCGAGTTTGAGCCAAAATCTCTAAATTCTTGTTTATGGCAGTTAAGTAGTCCCGTTTTGATTTTTACCAAGCATTTTTAGCCAGCAAAAATATGTCAGCAATTTTGATCTTTCCAATAGGAATGAATTAATCGCTTGAATTCAAAATTTGGGGGGAATGTTTGTAGTAATGACATGCAAAACATGTAAAACACTCAGTTTTGTGACTCTTGTTTAAAATTTTCTGGTTTCAAGTGTAACTCAACAATTGTGTGGTGTTCATCCGGGATTTCAATTTGCCGCCATTATCTCGCTCCCAAATTTCACCCTCGATATGTCCCCTCTAGTGTTATTTATAATCTCTATGGTTTTAATGACGTTCTGTGCCAATATTGAATACTATATGATTATAATGCAAACTTACCACCTCAGGCATGTTGTTTTTATAATTTGTATGAACCCCCATAATGAAAGGTGTTGGAGCGCTAATAAAGTCCAGCAAGGATGATGGCAATATTGGTATATAGACATAGCTAAACAAGAAAAACGGTAAAATTAGATACTGGGTTATTTTTCTGACAAATTTCAAAGGCAACTCTCTATATGACGCTTGTGATGTTATTCTGAGCAGTCCTCGCAATTTTCGGCGGCAAAAGGCAATTGCCGCCGAAGATTAAATTATCGGCGGCAATTTTTTGCCTCCGACAAATTTTTGTATCACTGATGATGCTTCACTGGCTTCTCAAATCTCAATTTGATTAGTTCTTCTGAGTATGAACATATGATTAGAAAATAAGTCGGGAAAGTGAGCTATTCTTTTGTGAACACTTTTATTTTTGTGGCTTATTTTAAAATACATCGAAAGTTCTGATATACTTCATGTAACTTCAAGTTTAAACATACATACAATTTTAGAACAACGTCCGTAGTGTAACAAAGTTAAAACTAAAAGATTGATAGCTGGTCTCAATGTTATTGTGTGTGAAACAAGGTTTCCTTGAATATCAAACACTTTTAATTAGTAGAGTCAAGAGAATACTAAATATATAATAATTCTGCTCTCTGTCAAAGTGTCAATTTATAATGACAAAAAAATTGCCGCCGAACTTCGAAATATCGACGGCAATTTTTTTCCGCCGAAGATTTATCAAAATTGCGAGGACTGTCTGAGTGTATATCCACACCGGACAAGCTTAAAAAATGCCTGGCCACGGTAGAGATCGAACCTACGACCTTTGGAATACTAGCCCAATGCTCTGCCAACTGAGCTACGGGGTTGGTTCGAATATGTGATATTTCGGAAATGAGTCTAGTTCCTTCGATGTCAATGCAATCTAGTAATCGTGACTTTTTCTGTGTTGGTGTAATGTACTCAGGTGAATATGATGCTTGTGATGTTACTCTGAGTGTATATCCACACCGGGCAGGCTTGAAAAAATGCCTGGCCACGGTGGGAATCGAACCTACGACCTCTGGAATACTAGCCCAATGCTCTGCCAACTGAGCTATACGCGGTCAGGTCGGTTCGAGTATATGTTGTTTGACCAACATGATGACCTAGCTCGTTTGAAAGGGCTTCGTAATGTCAAGCTGACTTCGGTATTGTATATTGAAATCATCTTAAACTGTCTGTGTCAGTGTAGGTAGTGGCAATAAAATGAACAAGCTTTCCTTGGTAGGGATGCCTGATTACCTGAAAATATATAAGGAGAATCTCGACGTTTCGAGCGAAGGCTCTTCGTCTGGAGTTACTATAGCAATTCTGGGGTTAGTTACTGTTAGGGTGAGGTGGTTTTTCGGTAAACCGAAAAAAAACACGTTGTTTTTTGAAAACCGAAACACTCGATGTTACTTTTGGAGAAAAACCGGAAAACCGAAAAAACCGGGGGAAACGAAAAAAAAAAAACCCGACGAAAAATCGGTATTTTACTAAAATCGAACCATACTTGTTGCAAATGACTCAAGTTTTGGCATTTACACACGAAAAACTAGAGAGATTTTGTTTGAAATTTGATAGCGTCTTCAAAATACCTTACGTTTAATATCTTGCGTGAGTATCGAGTAGCGTGTTGTGTCTTTTTTTACCGTAGCTTCGATTTTCGAACATATTTTTACAAAAAACAGGTTCACTCGTTTTTTTCGGGTTTTTGTAGAAACCGCCTCACGCGCTACTTACTGTCTAGTGACTGCCTCGTCCCTTATCGCTTCAGTTGGGAATAGAGATCAGTGGAAAAACAATGGGAGCGCGGGGCTTAATGGGAAGGCGATCGCGACCGCGCGTACGAATGACGGATGAGGGACTGTGGAAGAGTCAGGTCTAGTAACTCCAGACGAAGGACCTTCGCTGGAAACGTCGTAATTCCCTTATATATATTGAAATCAATCTTTTCGCTGGAGATTATTTTGCTGATTATAATGTAAATATGTGTAATGATCTAATAATGACCGACCAATTGACCACTTGCGTAATAGACTAAATTTTGATCTAGACAAAAATTTCATCACAGCTTGAAAGAGCATCACAAAATTAGTAATATTCCAAAGTTTCGTTGCGAAATGTTGTAAAATATATATATATATATATATATATATATATATATATATATATATATATATATATATATATATATATATATATATATATATATATATATATATATATATATATACTCACTAATAATAGAGTTCACTGGTGTATACAAACCTGAACTTTAGAGGATACATGAGAGCAAGAAGGCCAAGTGAAGCACTGGTGAGCAATGAGTAACTGCTAGAAAACAACAACACCTTGTTCTCCGTGACCAATGCACAAAACAACGAAAGCACATTGTGCATACCTATAACAAAACCCAGAAAACAAAATATTATTTCATTATGTCAAAAGAATATACAGTATGAAGGAAAATAATAGTAAAAGATAATAAAAAATATGCTAAAGTGGAGAGATGAAGCCGCCAAGCGCTCCGTTTTCATCTCGCTCCGTTTAAAAACCGTGTTCAAATTGTTACGGCAAAAAGAGACGTTTTCAAACAATTTCGCTCCGGAGTACCGTAGTATGAACACGAACGTTAATTGTGATTCTTCTACGCAGTTTACAAGCTGCATCAGCGCCGCCTTAGAGTGAACATGGTCTAAATTTCCTGGCTATTGCATTTCAATTTCAACTATACTGTAGTCTGGATAATCTATAGCCAGGAATCTGGTTATATTTGACCAGAAGATCATTGTTAAAATAACAAAGACTATACTAGGTTGATAAATAACCAGGGGCCCTTGGTTATTTATCCACTTAACATCAAGGCCGGATTTTGGTGGAATTAGTGGGGGAGGTGCAGCGGTCTAGCTCTCAACCGCCATGGAAGCTTGAGCTTAGAACGGGCCAAAGTCAACGACGTGACGTATGCATGTAGTGTAGATATGTATCAGTGTATTAGTGAATTATGACTGTACAACTCGTCCAGTTTTGCCATTCATTACAATTACTAACAAAGTTTCTTTCAAAATATTGCATTAAAAGGGTACTTGACACAGAGATGAATGGCTATCACTGTTTCAATTTTACAGAAAAAACTTTCTTACGAAGTGTAGACCCCAACTCAAGCGACCAAAAAATGTCAAATTTTCACTATGGTCTATCATCGAAACTTTCGCAAGGGGAGGTGCATGAATTTTCAGGTGAAGTGCAAAAATTCTGGTGCGGTGCTCACCACACCTCCCCTCAAAATCCAGCCATGCCTAACATAGTTTGGTTAAATAAATCATGCAGGAAGTTCACTCGCCTCGGCGGCTCGTGAGCCACTTTTTTGTTCTTCCCACATTAGGCAAAAAAAAAATATGTGGGTTTCCGGTTTCCCGACCCTACCTAGCTTTTGGACGTCGAAATCCCGACCCTAAACTTTTTTATTGGATCATGCTTGTAAGTGTTTCCACTTAGAGGAAAAAGCTTGTGGAAAATTGAAATTTGAGGCAATATTAGGGAAATTTATCTTTGGATGTGGAAGCACTGACTAAACAAAATGGCGTCCGCTTGTTCGGAAAATTAAAAAAAACGTTTAAAAAAAAGGAAGTTAAAACCGATCTACCCTACCTAAGTTTTTATAAGAAGAAACCGGAAATCCACATATTTTTTTTTGGCCTTATGACGTCATACTGTGTATCTATAACTGAACAGACAACGGCAAAATCTATTTTTTAAATATACACTCACCAAGCAGCCTAAAAACATTAGCCACAGATTTTGCAGTGATTGGAACTTGATCCCACAGTGGTGGGCTGAGGGTCTTTTTGTCTCGCATGCCCACAGAGAATGTAATGGCATCTGAACCGACAGAAGGAACTTGAACGAAGCCAAGAATAGAGCCAATAATCTTTTCAAGATGTGCACCATCCTCATTTAACCATGAAGTATAAATTGCTGCCAGGCAACTCTGAAGAAGAATTAGAAATAGTTTCTGCGGTTAGTTAGATAGACAGACAGTGAGTCACTGACGTAACGCTCATTGGATAGGGTTAGTTCAAAAACTAAGTGCCCCCGACCGAGCCCCAATCAGCCACGGCCTATCGCCCAGAAAATTAGAAAACGTGAAAAATGCAGGTTAAGAATCAATGGGAAAATGCAAAATTAATATAAATGCTGAATAATAAAGCCTCCATCAACAACGGTAACTGATTTTTTTATTCCATCTCAAATAAAACAAAACTTATGTTTGCGATGTTACTCTGAGTGCATATCCACACCGGGCGAGCTTGAAAAATATGCCCGGCCACGGTGGGATTCGAACCTACGACCTTTGGACCAACACAGAAAACAAAATTTATTCTTATTAGTTGTTACATGTGTTGGAGACTGTTATTGTTATAGACATGGAATTTTTCAGAACATTCTATAGGTATTCAATATTATAACATCTCAGTCAAACAATGACAACAGTCAACAGGGGCCCCCACACCAAATATGCCTTAGGGCCCCATCTTCCTCCACTACGCCACTGTAGACAGATAGATGGTTTATTACAAGTTACGAAAATATTTTAAAACTTTCACTAAATATCTCTAAAAGGATCTAAGAATATTCTAATACTTTTACGACGAATAATTTAATGCATTATGTATAATAAAACTATTTTTAAAACGGTTAGTTTGAAATGCAACGTTAAATCTATGACTGGATCTAAGAGTCATATTAACAATATATTTAACAATTTCATTACGTGGTGGAAGAAGTTATAAAGCCTGTGGCTATCATCAGTCACTATTTCTTCAAATAGTTTGTCTGAAAGACCGTCTCTTCGATGGCTGAGTCGTTGGAGGTGATTTTACAGAGCCTGATATAACGTTCAAAATTTGTCCGGAAAAATGTCCGGTCAAAATGAAATTTGATCGGAAACTTTCAAATTTGGGCGGACATTATTTCGATTCCATTTTGATCTTACGCCTTTGTTGGGTTAATTAAGCCAATATACAAATAATACTGTATGGCAAACACTATGGACAGTATAGTTATACTTTTAGATCCAATGTTCTTTGCATGCAGCTAATATGGTTAACCCAGTATGTCCGGACAATGTCCGACCAATTTGGCATTTGGTCGGAAAAACTACGATTTTGTCATGCTCTGTTTTATGACCTGATGAAAATTTCGCATATTATCTCAATACAGAATTATCTATGGAAATAGCCTGTATGGCCCATGAAATAGCCCTTGTTGAAGTGGAAAGATGAACGGAGGATGACGATCTGTCAGAAAACCTGGCTTTTGTGACTAAACGACGTTGAATTTTTGGACGTACAATGTGATTGGTCAACACCATGAGTTAATTGACATGTTTACACCCAGGTGAAGACATTACATTTCGTGATCTTCATTGAATTTTTACAGTTTACGGACAAGGGAATACATTTCGTTTAGCCTGAAAATTTCCCCGAATTTCATTTGAGTTTTTATTTGTGCTTAAAAATAATAATTCATTAATAATTCAGGTCCCTACTGAAAATCGCCTTGGCGAGTAGGTAGGTTACCCGAATAAAATATTCATCATCATCATGAGGAAAAGACACAGAAAATCATTACCGTGTTGGTGGTTTTATATGTGATAAAAAATCATGTTAATTTACATAAACTTTAGGTTTTGATTTCCTCGGCTTAGACAACATTTGTTTTTTAAATTACTTTGTCAATGAACTCATAAGATGGGTCGTTTTTAAGCCATTTAGAACACTCGCAGTCCGTGCTTGATCAGATATAAAACACTCGGCTGACGCCTCGTCTTTGATAGTGCTGTGTGCCGGAGTTTTGGCCTATTTTGCTGGAGCTGGAGTTTGTTCAACTCAGGCAGCACTTCTTTGTGCTGCAAACTACTGTCGGACATTGGCGAAAAAACCTGAATCCATTGACGAAAAAGTAAATACTCGCATTGATACTGCGCAGGCCTGCCACAACCATAGTACGAAATGTTCATGCAAAGTGTTCAAATCAAAATCAAAGATAGAGCTTCC